TAGTGCAGGGGGCTTGAATCTGATCACAGGTCAGGGACCTAGATTCCATATGCCGCAACTAAAGATCCTTCACAGCCATATAAATAAACAGTATTAAAAATATATATAAAATTTAAAAAACAATTCTTAGAAACAAAGTAAAAAAATTGACAAATGAGTGAATTAGTAACGGTTGATGGATCGCAGCCTGCCTTGGTGAAGGACGCTGGTGGCAAGAGGAAAAGTCTGAATGAGAGTCCTCGAGAATGGTCATTTTTTTTTCCCCCATCAAGTGTGGCATGGCACCATCTTCATCCATGCTGCCAAGCAGACACCTTGCTAGCAGGCATGTCAGTGGGGGTGGGGTGGGGTGCACCTCTGCTGTGCAGACAGTTGTGTGATAATGTGATGGATGCCCAGACAGGCTTCTCCCAGCTCCAGCCACCACCAGTGTCACTCATAACCCTTCAAAAACGGTTCACTCTGGATGTGAGTGAATTATCAGCCTTCCACTAGAGTAGGTAGGACATATTTCTCTTCCTTAAAAACCACCCTAATGAAATTCTGTGAAACCACCTGGTGAAACTCTGCTGATGACGGCAGAGGCAGCCCCTTGTTTGCACTCCTAGAAGCCCCTCTCAGGGGTGGGCACGCTTCGGTGGGTTTGGAGTGGTGAGAAGTGCTGTTCTCAGAGGCTGCACCGCACACGGAGCCTCACAAACAGATAAAACGCATCTGCAATTAGTGGCATCTCTTCACAGACAAAGAATTCATGTGCTGAAAGCTGTTTGTTTATTCTCTTGCACTCGTCAGCTATGTCCCACAATCCTGTTATCAAACCTTGCCTTAGAAAGCCCCCTTTTTTCTGTTCCATGGAGAGAACACATGGTCTAATACCAGAAAAAAAAAAAAAGAATCAAGCAATCATATAGATACATCTTAAAAGGTTTTGGATAAACAGCAAGCTGTTAAATGATGTTGGCAGTATGACTTGTAGAAATTTAGGCCACCAGATTCTGAATTTGCAGAGTTCTAATTGATGAAGTCGTTTTGTTCCTTCTCTGTACCCGGTAATTCAGTAATTCAGTAATTCAACTCAGATCAGAGAGTGCTGAGTGAGGCTGGGGCCTCTATTATTTCTGTTGCTTCCCAGCCTCCCCCGACTGGCAGGGGGTGGGATGGGGTAGGGGTGTGGGGGTGGGAAGCAGTGTGTCTGGTGTGCCTTGGTCTTGGGATTTGGTGTGGGGAAAACTGACATTCAACTCTGGCTCCAGCACTTTTCCTGGTCAAGAGATCTTTCAATCACTCAACATTTGCTAAGTGCCAGGCACTAGATTGGCACCGGAAAGACAAAGATAAATAAGACACAGTTTCTCCCCCTTTCATTTTTCTTTTTGTGTTTTAATGCTGAGGAGTACTTTTAGATATGCCAGGCAATCAGAAAAGTATAAAGTACAGAATAATAAAATAAAAACCCCTGATAGGAATCACGTAGCTTCAGAGACTTTCTTGGTGGTCCAGTGGCTAAGACTCCATGCTCCCAATGCAGGGGGCCCAGGTTCAATCCTTGGTTAGGGAACCAGATCCCACATGCCACGACTAAGAAGTTCAAATACAAAAAAAAAAGAAGTTCAAATACCTCAGCTAAAGATCTTGCAAGCACATTGCAAAGAAGATGGAACATCCTGTATGCTGCAACTAAGACCCGGCACAGCCAGATAAATAAATAAATATTAAAAAAACAAATCACCTAGCTTCAGAGACAAAGCTAGAAAAACATTTGAAGTCCCTTATGGATACCCGAGGCCCCTCTCTCCCCCTACAATGGAACTTCTATTCTACATTTTGGGTTTATCACCCCTTGCATGTCTGTTATTTGTGTGACCTGGGTGCATGTGTGTGTGTGTGTGCTAAGTTGCTTCAGTTGTGTCCAACTCTTTACAACCCTATGGACTGTAGCCCACCAGGCTCCTTTGTCCCTGTGATTCTCCAGGCAAGAATACTGGAGTGGGTTGCCATTCCCTCCTCCAGGGAATCCTCCCAACCCAGGCATCCAACCCAAGTCTTTTATGTCTCCTGCATTGGCAGGTGGGTTCTTTAACACCAGCGCCACCTGAGGAGCCCCATGTGACCTGGGTACATATGCTTAAACACACTGCAGTCTTAGGTACTTTTAAAATTTCTATGAATCATACGACCCAGATCTTTTCATAATATGGTCTTTGTGCAAAAAATGTATTCAGATTTATTGATGTGATACAAGTAGCTCAATTCATTTGTCTTTTTTATCTTTGTGTATACTTTTTATTGGGGCTTCCCTGGTGGCTCAGTGGAAAGAATCTGCCTACCAATGCAGGAAACTTGGGTTTGATCCCCGAGTCAGGAAGATCCCCTGGAGAAGGGAATGGCAACCCACTCCAGCATTCCTGCCTGGGAAATCCAATGGACAGGGGAGCCTGGTGGGCTACAGTTGATGGGGTCACAAAAGAGTCAGACGTGACTTATCGACTAAAACAACAACAATATTTTCTATTGAAGTATAACATTTATACAAACAGGTGCATGAATCATAAGTGTACAGCTTAATGAATTCTCGCAAGGTCAACACACTTGTGTAACTATACCCAATAAAGAAACAGAACACTAACAGCACCCTAGAACTCCTCGAGTGAGCCTCGCTTCTAATCACCAAGGGCACATCGCCGACCTCTACCATAGATGAGTCAGCTGTTTTAGGATGTTCTGTGAAAATAAACATGCTCTGTGTACCTCTTTTGTGCTCAGTTTCTTTACATCAACATTATGTCTGTGAGATTTGTCTATGTTGCTATGAGGAGCAGGTGTTAATTCTTTTTCACTCCTGTATAGTTTTCCATCGCACAAATATCCTAAAATGCATGAATTCAGGAGTTCATTCTGATGCTGCTGGACATTTGGGTTGTTTCCTGTTTTGGGTGGACTATGATGAGGGCTTCTCTGGAGATTATTTTACAAATCTTTTAGTGCCCAAGCACACATATTCCTCTGTATGTATCTCGGATCGGAATTGCTGAGTCTTGTTGCCTGCATATAATTAGCATAATTGCTAAATGGTTTTCCACCCCTAGCAAGTGAGTATGAGTCCCTTTGCTCCACATCCTTGGCCAGCGCTTGGTGTCTGCTCTTTTAATTTTAGCCCTTTTGGTGGGGCTGGGCTTCCTTTTTTTAAGCTAAATTTACTGTGCTAAGCATTTTCTATACATCTTATTTTATCATCATGTCAATCTTATAAGGAGTATGCTGCCATTAACCCATTAACCATTACAGATGAGAAAGCTAAACTTGAAGAAATTAAGGAGGGACTTCCCTTGTGGCTCTGCTGGTAAAGAATCCATCTGCAAAAAAAAGAAGAATCCATTTGCAATGTGGGAGGGAGACCTGGGTTCGATTCCTGGGTTGGGAAGATCCCCTGGAGAAGGGAAAGGCTACCCACTCCAGTATTCTGGCCTGTAGAATTCCACAGACTGTATAGTCAGTCCATGGGGTCGAAAAGAGTCAGACACAACTGAGTGACTTTCACTCTTTCAATTTCACTTTCTTTGGTGGTCCAGTGGCTAAGGCTCTGTACTCTTAATGCTGGGATGCTACGTTCGATCCCTGGTCAGGGAACTAGATCCTACATACTGCAGCTAAGAGTTTACATACCTCAACTAAAGATCCTGCATACCATGACTAAGACCCGGCTCAGTCAAACAAACAAACAGGTAAATAAGTAAATGAAGGAACTTCCTCAAGGCCACACAGTGAGGACTAGAGCACCGCCTGCCCTCAGGTTTCACTGTCTCAGTCAAGTGGTCTGGAACCCAGTCTCATGGGGGAGGGGGCCCACGAAGACAACTATAGTAAATGAGACATCTTGTGAGGTGCAAGGGTGACCCCAAAGCTGAAGAGATCACTGGAAGTGTCAGGAAGAATAAGAGGACCACTGGATTGAGGTGGATCCCTGGACAAGCCGACTAACAGTAACAGCGCTGGTCTCTAGTGGTGCTAGTTAGGACGTTTCTTTTCCTCGTCGTGAGGATTCAAAGTGCTGGCATTAGATAAGGCTCCTTGTGCCTCGCACAGAGCTGGTGCCCAGTGAAGGGCTGTTGAAGGCCTTAGTGAACACCTAGGATTCAGAGAACTTTTTTAAGAGTGCAAATTTATTTCAAATTTTATTTATTATGTTTAATTGGAGGATAATTGCTTTACAATGTGGTGTTAATTTCTGCTGTAAAACAACCTGAATCAGCCGTAAGTATATGTATTTTCCCCTCCCTCCCTCCCATCCCCCCAGGAGACAGAGAACTTCACGCAATTAAATGGTCCTTCCTGCAGCCGGAGGGATGGACCAAACGGCCTCGCTAAACCCCTTTCACCCCAGTCTGGGAGGGCCAGGGAAGAGCTGGAGTAAAGGGCCAGCTTCCCCTCCCAGGCAGGGAAAGACGCCCCCACCTTCACCCCAACCCCCTCCACGCAGAGGGGCTGTGACAGCAACTCCTTTCCACACAGGAAAAAATAAACTCCTTGGCATCTCCCCACCGCCTCAGCACCCGGTCACCCCCTCTCCATCCCCACCCTGATCCCTGGACCCAGCGGACGGAGCTGGAGTCTAGGAAAAACCACTGCGGGAGAAAGGCCCAGGGCAGCTGGGGGTGGGCCGAGGGGTGTGCGCGCCAGCGTTGAAAGCCCTGGGGCCGCTCTAAGAGGAAGAGGGGGAGGGAGTGAAAGGGGGAGGGAGAAGGAACGGGAGACGGAGCGGAGAAAAGGGGAGGCTTAATTCGCTACTCGGACACCAGGCCAAGGACTGAAGCCTCTTCCTGCTTTCCCCTCCCCTCCTCCACCAGGCGTCATCCAAGGGAGTTGCCTTGGGACATCCAACGCGGGGGAGGGGGTGCGGGGAAGCTGAGGGCCCGGGAGTGGGATGTGCATGGGTGTTTGAGGAGCAAGGATGTGCGAGGCTGCTTACAGACCCCAGTGGGCTGCATTCTGGAAGGCAGCCCATGGCTGACCCTCTCCAGGGCCCGCCTGAGCCCCTGCAAGGGTTTTGCCAGCGCCGGCTCAACAGCGGCACCTGCTGCCCGGGGCTCTCCCTGCGGGGCGGAGCACCCCCTCCGCCCTGGGAGCCCAGCGGGTGAGTCACTCCTGGCTGGATTGGCGACCGTGCGCCCCAGCTGTCGGGTCAGAAAATGTCGGGGGCCGAGGCGTGTCCCCCAGCGGCGGGCCTCGTCTCTTCGGGTCGCCGTCCCCGCCCCTAATGCTGCCCTCCACACACAGGACGCCAGCCGAGGGTCCTCTGTGGGCCAGCCCTGGACCAGCCCAAGTCCAGCGCAGGGGGGAAAAGAAGGATCAAAACTTCAAGGCTCCTGGTTTGGGTAGAGTTCTTTTGTTTTCTAAAACTTTTTATTTGGAAAAAGTTATAAGCTTACAGAAGAGTTCCAATAAGATGCAGAGATCCTCCATATACCCCTTATACAGTTCACCAGATGTTAAAAGTTTGTCCCATTTGCTCTCTTATTCTCTGTCAAATATATGTTTAATATTTATTTACTTATTTATTCCTTGAACGGAGAGTAGCAACCCTCCTACCCCGTTTACCTGTACATATTTTAGTGGGTATTTCCTAAGAACAAGGACATTCTCTTGCATAAACACTCTTTTCAACTTTGGGAAATTTCAAATTGATAGCAATACTTTCATCTAATTTACTGTCCATATTTCAGTTTTGCCAGTTGATTCCATAGGGTCTTTTAGAGCATTTTTCGCCCCTCTAGTGTACAATCCAAACCAAGATCACAGATTGCATTTAATTGTCATTTTTCTTAGGCTTCTTTAATTGGGAACAATTCCTTATCTCTCTCTTTTTTTTAATCTTTCATGACATTTTTTCAGAGTAGACGCCACTGCCTTTTCTTCTTTTAATTGAGTGTCCTCATTTGGGGTTTGTCTAGTGTTTTCTTATGGATAGATTCAGGCTACACAACTTGGGAGGGAATTCCGCATAAGCAATATTTTATGTTCTTGAGGTGGGACTCCCCACTTTAAGGAGTTCATGGAACGCCTGAACCTCTAAGGATTAACCCATGGATTATCTGTAAAAGGGCTTCCTTGGTGGCTCAGTGGTAAAAGAATCCGCCTACCAATGCAGGCGACACAGGAGATGCAGGTTCGATCCCTGGGTTGGGAAGATCCCCTGGAAAAGGAAATGGCAACTCACTCCAGTATTCTTGTCTAGGAAATCCCTTGGACAGAGAAGCCTGGTGGGCTACAGTCCATGGGGTCACAAACAGTCGGACACAACTTAAGGACAACAGTATATCTGTAAAAAGTTGAACCAGATTTTCAACACAAGTTAAGAATGGGACCAGTAGGTTTCCCTGGTGGCTCAGTGGTAAAGAATCTGACTAATGCAGAAGGCACGGATTCAATCCTTGGTCCAGGAGGATCCCACGCGTGGAGGAGCAACTAAGCCCATTCACCACAACTACTGAGCCTGTGCTCTAGAGGCCACGAACTGCAACGGAAGCCATCGCAGTGAGAATCCTGAGCCCTACAACAAAGAGTAGCCCTTCCTTTCCGCGACTAACACAGCCAAAAATAAAGAAATAAAATTATTTTTTAGACGAGAATGGCATCACTAATTATGTGTCTGTTTTCTGTCTGCTGATGGCTGGCTTAGATTTTGACTCTCTGTTCTCCCCTTCTGTCCCTCCTGCTGCCAAACTTGCCCTTGAGGTTCAGTGATCTGTTGAAAGCATTATTCTATTTGAAGGTCACCAGGGACACCCCGATTGCCCAACTCAGTCGTCTTCATAGTCCTTACCCTTTTGACCTCCTCCCAGGCCCTCCTTCCTGAAAACTCCCAGGCTCTGCTTTCCCAGTCTCCGCCCATCCTCCCTCATCCACAAATAATGAAGTGCTGGTTGGCCCTGCTGGCTGCTCTGGGAGTCAGCCTTGCACGTGTGGTTTATCCGGGGAAATCCATGGGTCTCGGTCTTTGTTGTAACCTCACCACACCCCAGTGGAGACAGCCTCCCAGTTCTCACCCTGAGATGAGTCTCCCCTGAGGGAAGCCACGCCTTCTTGTGTGTGGCTTCTACATCCCCTTTCTTCTTCAGCAACTAGGAAGGCAGGAATGGCCCTGGGTTCACACCCTTCTATGGACCAGCCTAGCGGATGCCCCTGGGATTCCAGGAATCCCAAATGGAACTCTTCTCTCCCAATCTGTAACTCCTCCCTCATCTTTGTCCTTGTGATTCACTATCTCCCCATCACCTGCTCCCCAAACGTGAACTTTTTTTCACCCCTACATCAAAGCCACGTCTTCTCTCTCTCCTTCTCTCTCCTGGTCTGTTCTGCTTTGATTGTTTATTTATTTATGTAATTTTGGTTGTGCTGGGTCTTTGTTGCTTCAGGTGGGAGTTCTCTAGTTGCAGCAAGTAGGAGATGCTCTCTGTTGCCCTGTGCAGGCTTCTCCTGGCGGTGGCTTCTCCTGTTTAGGAGCACAGGCTCTAGGTGAACGGGCTTCAGTAGTTACAGGCTCAGTAGTTGGGGCGGACAGGCTGAGATGCCTCGTGGCATGTGGAATCTTCCCAGACCAGGGATTGAACCCGTGTCCCCTGCATTGTGAGGTGAATTCTTATCCACAGTACCACAAGGGAAGTCCTGTTTGTCTGTTTTTAATATTTATTTGGCTGCGTTGGGTCTTAGTTGCAGCATGTGAGATCTTTGCTGTGGTTTCTGTTGTTTTTTGAAATCCTAACCGGTCTTCCTTTTCTTTCTGTTGTGTCCATCTGACCATGTTCCTCCTGCCTCTTCTGTCCCCAGCTCAAGTGTAATATCCTAGTATATCTGAAACAGTGAGGTGTCATTTTGGGGCTCTGAAGAGCTCCAGTACCGCAGTTCTTTATGTCTCAGTGCAGAAAAGAATTCAGCGAGAGGCAAAGTGATAGATAAGAAGTGACTCATTAGAATAGGATGCTTGTGAGGTTTACAAGCAGGTGGGTGAGGGGGTGCTGAGCCCCGAGAACTTATTGGGCTACAGTTTCATAACCAAAGGAAAAGTGGGGGCGGGGGGAGAAGACCTTCTTTGTCTTTCTTGGGTAGACGTCATGCTTCCATCATCAGCTTCTCCTCCAGGTTGAACAGTGGAGTTTTCTTGTCCCTACTTGGTCAAGTTAAGTCCACAAATTATTGTTTTTTTATGTGCGTGGAGAGTATGTCCTAGAGATCATTAACTTACTGAGCTCACTGGCAGGATGTGGGTCTCAGGCTCCCATTGTTTTATTGTCTTGGGGCATGTCTTGTGCGTCTGTTGCATGTTTTTGTTGCTAAGCGAGCTGGCTTGGTTTTGTGGTTAAGCAAACCTGCTTTCTTGAGTAATCATTAACTTACAGGGGTCTCCTATACTTTTTCTACTTCTAATCCCCTAATGTGATTAACTGTTTAATTGCCTACTTTGTCCCTTTACTCTGTCACTATCATGTCCTCTAGTACTTTGAGGGTTGGGCCTGTGGATTCTTCCAGACTCCTACCCTTCCCCCTCTAGTCCCATGGCTTCTAATTCCGGTGGCCACTGGACCTTTGCATGTGCACATGAATGGCCACTCACATTCCTTTCTCCACCTTTTCCCACTAATTTGGTCTGGTGTTCAAATGACACCCTTTTTGTGAGGACTTCCTGACATCCTTAGGCTGTTCTACCTTTACCTCTGGGAAGAGGGGTGCATCTCTGGTGCCTCCAGCTCTATGACTCCCCCCAAGGTAAGGAGCCCCCTGGGAGACCTGCCTCACCATCTAGACCAGAGCCGTCCAGTAGAACTTTCTGTGGTAATAGAAGTATCCTCTACCTGTGCTGTCGAGTGTGGTGGCCACCAGCCACATGTGGTTACTGAGCACTTGATTTGTGGCTCAGTGGGACTGAGGTATTTTATTTACTTTGAAATCATTTAAATCAAAATGTATATAGCTACGTGTGGCTAGTGGCTACTATGTTGGATAGCCTAGGGCTAGACCATGTCTTAGGGACTTGGTATTGCTGGTTTTCTGCTCACAGGGTCCCAAAGCCACTTCCAGGGCCTACACAGGCCATCCTCAGGCTTATTCTCCTAAGGTTTTATTCTCCTACATAGCCCTAGGTGCAGAGGTGGGTAAGGGTGCTAGGAAGGGTGTCGGTGTGTGGAAGGGGCTCGGCTATGCAGCCTGGGACGAGTGTTTGTGTATATTAGATTGTGACTCCTCTTAGTGCAGGAAAGAGCCAGGGGTGTTCTGCTGCAGAGCTGTAGTCTGAGAATTTTAGGATTTTTTTTTTTTTGGCCATGCTGTGTGGCATGTAGGATCTTAGTTCCCTGACCATGGATCAAACCCACGCCCCCTGCATTGGCAGTGCAGAGTCTTAACCACTGGACCACCAGGGAAGTTCCCTGAGGATTTATTTTTATACCTGGCTTTCCTGGTTCTCTTTAAGGTATAGTTACAAGAGTAAGAAGATAGAATGTATTTATCTGGGTTGGCTTGCCTTGTAACAGTTGAACATTTTGTTGTTGTTCAGTCGCTCAGTTGTGTCTGACTCTTTGTGACCCCATGGACTGCAGCACGCCAGGCTTCCCTGTCCTTCACTATCTCCCAGAGTTTGCTCAGACTCATGTCCATTGAGTCAGTGATGCCATCCAACCATCTCATCCTCTGTTGCCCCCTTCTGCTTGTCCTGAACCCACAAGTGTCAGGAGTGGGGCTGGGGTTAGTTTCTTCTTCCGTGGCTCCGGAGGCACACAGAACCTCCTCCCATGCCCCCAGCACCCAGCTGTGAGCTCTTCTGGGTCAGGCTGGGTCTAATTCTTCTCTCTTCCCTGGTTCCTGGCAGGCTATTGACTCACCAGAGATTGTTATCAAGTAAAGCAGATTCAGCTGCTTGCCCAAGGCCTTACCCTGATCTTGACTTTCATCACAGTGGTTGGCTGGCTGGCTGAGAGGAAGACCTCTTTGAAAACCAGCTGTCCCTGGCTTGGGGGACATGGTAGGGAGAGCTGGGCTCCTAGACCTGGGTCTCTGCTCTATCACTTTTGTTTTTGTTTTTGTTTTTTCACTGTTTGTGATTTTTTTAAAATTAGTTGGAGGCTAATTACTTTACAATATTGTAGTGGGTTTTGTCATACATTGACATGAATCAGCCATGGATTTACATGTGTTCCCCATCCCGATTCCCCCTCCCACCTTATCACTTTTTTTTTTAAAAAAACTTTGAACAAGTCACATAATCTCTCTGAGCCCCAGTCCCTTCATCTGCAAAAAAAGGGGATAATAACACCAACCCTAGTGTGTTACAATGAGGATCAAACTAAACTAAATGAAACCCTTTCACAGACACAGTGCCTGTGTTCAACAGGTCTTCCATACATGTCCCTTAAATCAGCGTTCATTAAATGCTTACTGTGTGCCAGGCACAAGGCTTTGTTCCCCATCATAGGTGAGGTGACCTCTAGCCTGGAGGGAGGGTTTGGGAGCTCCTGGTTGCTCCACCAGCCTGCCTTCTCCTCTCTGGGCACCTGTATGCTTGTGTTCGCAGTCATATCTGACTCTTTGCGACCCCATGGACCGTAGGCCACCAGGCTCTTGTGTCCATGGGATTTCCCAGGCAAGAACACTGGATCGGGTTGTCATTTCCTACTCTAGAATGTCTTCCTGACCCGAGGATTGAAACTGTGTCTCCTGTGTCTCCCGCTTTGGCAGGCAGATTCTTTCCCACTGAGCCGCCTGGGAAGCCACTGGGCCCCTGTGTCCCCCACTTCATTTGGCCGCTGGTTGGATGGGGGCTCACCCTTCCTAGTTTGTGTGGACTGCAGCGCCCTCCATGAAGGACCATGTTTTTCACTTCTGGATGGGCTAGCAGAGCTGGTTGAGACATACTAATCGACAGACAGACAGATCTATGATGGTGACGGTTGTGGTTTGTGGCCTCTCAGCTCAGCCAGACACACCGGAGCTTGAGAGGTGAGCAAATACCTTCTTGGCAGACTGTTTCCGAGATTAAGACACTTGATCTGAGATTAAGGCTTGTTGTTAACCAAAAAGCTCATCTCTGCCTGGCTCAGCTGTCCCTTCAGGGGCACCATGGAAATGAAAGGGCCAACTTGGGTCTGTATCCTGGCGGCGCCATTTTCTGACTGGATGACTTGGGCTCCCTTGCAGATAGCAGATTTGGGGGTCTCATTAGGAAAATGGCACCAGAGTAAGCCCCAACTCACAGGGTTGTTGTTTGTAACTCATCCTTTGGGTCCTTCCTTCCCAGACTCAGCAGTTACCTTCAAACTCAGCCCTTCACCGTTTGCCCCTCTGCCTTTGACCTCATGACTGACTGTGGCCAAGTCTGTGTTGCGGACACCATCCCGCGGCCCCCCAAGCTACTGCTGCCTCTTCATCCTCTTCCTCCGCACTTCCATTTTTAGGGCATTATGTGCTAAGAACCTTATACCTAATATTTTTGATATTCTATTCCAGATATTTTCTAACTTCCTTTGAAAGGTTTTTATTTATTTATTTTTGGCTGCACTGAATCTTCGTTGCTGCGTGAGGGCTTTCTCTGTGGCGTGTGGGGTCTACTCTTTGTCATGGCGTGCAGGCTTCCCACTGTGGTGAGAACCCACCACAACACCAATTGCTGTAGTTGTGGAGCATGGGCTTAGCTGCCCCTGCAGGCACATGGAATCTTCCCCGACCAGGGACTGAACCCACACAATGCAGTGTGTCCCCTGCATCGACAGGTGACTTCTTAACCACTGGACCACCGAGGAAATCCTAGATATTTTCTAATTTCTCTTATGAGTTCTTCAACCCATGAATTATTTAGAAGTGCATTTTGACATTTTCAATTGCATGGGGTGGTCTTTCTATTTATGTTGTCTTTTGATTATTGATTTCCTTTTTTTTTTTTTTTAAGGTTGCTGTGGTTTGTGGGATCTTAGTTCCCCAACTAGGAATTGGGCCCCCTGCAATAGAAGTGGGGAATCCTAACCAGTGGATGGTCAGGGAATTCCCAATTGATTTCTAACTGAATTATATTGTTGTCAGATAATGAAGTCTGAATGGCTTTTTTGAACTGGTGGAGACTTGCCTTATGGTCCGATATGTGGTCACTTTTGTAAATGTGTGACTGAAAGCAATACTGTGTTCTCCAATAGTCAACTGGAGTATTCCAAATACTCAATTAGATTAAACCTGTCAGTTGTATTATTCAAACCTTCTACATCTTTACTGAATTTTTTATCTGCTTAAACTACCAACTCTGTGTGCTGTGCTTACCAGGCTCCTGTGTCCATGGGATTTCCCAGGCAAGAATACTGGAGTGGGTTGCCATTGCCTTCTCCAAAGCTACCAATACTAGAGAGAAGTAATTTGAATCTCCCTTCACACTGATGGACTTGTCTATTTATTCCTCTATTTTCTGCTTTATGATTTTCAGTTCAGTTCAGTTCAGTCGCTCAGTCGTGTCTGACTCTTTGCGACCCTACGGACTGCAGCATGCCAGGCTTCCCTGTCCATCACCAACTCTCAGAGCCTTCTCAAGCTCATGTCCATCATGTTGGTGATGCCATCCAACTATCTCATCCTCTGTCGTCCCCTTCTCCTCCTTCAATCTTTCCCAGCATCAGAGTCTTTTCCAATGAGTCAGCTCTTTGCATCAGGTGGCCAAAAAATTGGAGTTTCAGCTTCAGCATTTTGAAGCTGTATTATTATGTGCATACAACTGTAGAATAGTTATATTGTTTTGATAAATTGAGGCAGGCACATGTCCATCTCTCTCTCGGCAGGGTGGATTTGTTAAAACTAAGTTTATCCAAGGATGTCACCTTTGCAGAACCCTTGACTTCTTGCAAGGGGCAGATGATCATCTCTGATCAGGCCTCCTACCTTATGAGACCCTAGGTTTTGTCTTGTTCATTTTTCGATTTGTGCCTTTTGGGGATTTTTCTTTTCTTGCCAACTCAGCCTTGCACTGAAAATAACACACACACACACACACACACACACACACACACACAGAGAGTTATCTTTTATCGAGCATTTCTAGTTGTTTTATATGAGGAGGGTTTCTCTGGACATATAATCCACCCTATTGCTGGAAATAAAAGTCTATGTTGGACTTTTCTGGTGGACCAATGATTAAGAATCCATCTGCTAATGCAGGGGACATGGGTTTGATCCCTGGTCCAGGAAGATTCCACATGCCGTGGCGCAACCGAGCCTGGGCATCACAGCTCCTGAGCCCTCACAGCCTGAAGCCAGTGCCCTGCAACAAGAGAAGCCACTGCACTGAGACGCCCACACACCAAGAGAAGCCCCCAGTCGCTGCAACTCGAGAAGGTCCACGTGCAGCCATGAAGAGCCGGCACAGACAAAAATTAAAAATAAATGAATAAATAAAAAATGTAAAAGGTCTATGTTATCCCTTTACTTGAGATTTTATTTAATATTCGAAATAGTTCTATGAAATCCTATCGCTGATTTTCAAGACCAGAAAACAGGCTCAGGGATTTCGGACAGTTTCAGATCTTAGCTCTGACATTACCAGTCCTGTGACCTTGGGTAAATCAGTCACTCAAGAGAATACTGAGGTCGGAGAGCACAGCAAAGAGGTCTGCCTTGCAGGGCTGCTGCTCAGTTTTGAATGGCACACGGAAAGCGCCTGCCCCTGCATCTGCGATCGTGCTGGCGCTCGGAAGACATCGTGACCGCTGCAGTCTACAGGGAAGGGACATGTGCCTGGCGCTTGTCCTCCCCTCCTCACTGCAGGCACTGACAAAGATAGTTCAGTGTCTGCCTGACAGCTGCCTTTGTTGCTGTTTAGTCGTGTCTGACTCTTCGCAACCCCATGGACTGTAGCCCGCCGGGCTCCTCCATCCATTGGATTTCCCAGGCAAGAAATATTAGAGTGGGTTGTCACTTCCTCCTCCAGGGGATCTTCCTGACCCAGGGATTGAAACCGAGTCTTCCGCATTGGCAGGCAGATTCTCTACCACTGAGCCACAGTTGTTGCCTGGTGGATCCTAGAAGACACAGATCTCTGATCCCACCTCCCCCCGAGATTCTGAATCTGAGTGACAGCCAGTTTTGAACACAACAAGAGGGATAGAGCAGCCCATCCTTAGTTAGACAACGAGCAACTTGCTTTTATTTACTTGAACTTTTTGAAGATGTAATAAATGCATAGGGTTTAAAAAATAAAAATAGTATAGGAAGAAATTCATTGAGGGCTTCCCTGGTGGCTCAGTGGTAAAGAATCTGCCCGCTAATGCAGGAGACACGGGTTAAATTCCCCAGTCTGGGAAGATCCTACATACTGCGGAGCAACCAAGCCCATGAGCCACAATGATTGAACATGTGTTCTGGAGCCGGTGTTCTCCAACAAGAGAAGCCACCACAATGAGAAGACCGCACACCCCAAGGAAGAATAGGCCCCACTCGCCGGAACTAGAGAAAAGCCGACACAGCAACGAAGACCCAGTACAGTAAAAAATAAATAAAATTAAAATTAAAAATTAAAAAAAAAGAAATGGATTGAAAAGTCCTGCTCCCACCTCTGCCTTATCCACTCTGTTTCCCCAGAACCTTACAGGTCACCACTTTTATTATGTTCCCTATGTAAATTCAAGCAAATGTAAACATTTATTCTTCTTCCCACCTCCCTTTCTTATACAAAAGTTAGCATACTATATATACTGTTCTGCACCATATTTTTGCTTCAAAATATATCCTGGAGATCTTTCCATATCAGTACCTGGCATTCTCATATTTTTTTATAGTGGCATAGTTTCCTGTGATGGGGATGTACCTTTATACATTTATTTAACCCTTCATCGTTCAGTATAGTAGCTATATGTGGCTATTTACACTGAACTTAATTGCAATGAAGTGAAATTTGATATTCATTTCTGGGAATTCCCTGGTGGTCCAGTGGTTAGGACTCCAAACTTTCACAGTGGAGGGTACAAGTTCAATCCCCAGTCCCTGGTTTTTGAACCAAGATCCTACAAGCTGTTGGTGTTGTGGGAGGGAGGGGGGAAGAGAGAACAGCGAAATTTCTTTTATTTTTTTTAATTTAATTTACTTGTTTTTGCAATTTATTTTCTCAGTTGCACATTTCAAATACTTAGTGGCGATATGTAGTTAGTAGCTACTGTATTGGACAGCACAGAGCCATTTCCACCATCACAGAAAGTTCTACTGGATTGCTGGTTTAACTGATCCTCAGTTGCTGAACATCTGGCTTATTTCCTTTAGGCAGCTCAGGGATGATGAGGCCCATCCCTGGGATACAAGAGAGCTGAGTGAGAGCTGCCTAGGAAATGCTTTAATATCAGATCTTAAAATCTGGGAGGTGCTTGCAAGAGGAAAGCTTTTGCTTTTTGGCCAAGTTGCCTGGCTTTTGGGATCTTAGTTCCCCAACCAGGGATCGAACCCATGCCCCCTGCAATAGAGGTACAGACTCTTAACCACTGGACTGCCAGGGAATTCTCAAGAGGATGGCTTTTGGGTTTGAGGCAGAGGCTTGACCAGGGCCTGGAAACAAGAGTGACCCTTAAGGTCAGGGTTCATGCTTAACCCTAACCCTCTACTCCCCTCTCCAGGTCTACCAAAACGCAGTCCTATTTTCTTTCATTTAGTATTTAAGCCCTGTGCTGGGGAGACAGGGTCAGAAAAGACAGTCTCTGCCTTGAAGAAAGAGAAAGATCATCCATCACCTGCCTTCTCACAAAGACTTTCAAAGAGGCTTCATCAAAAACCAAAAGGCTGGGACTTCCCTGGTGGTCCAGTGGCTAAGACTCCATGGTCCGAGTGTATGGGGCCCAGGTTTGATCCCTGGTCAGGGAACATGCTGCAGCTAAAGGTTCTCATGCCACAACTAAAGGTCCCATGTGCTGCAACTAAGACCTGGTGCAGTCAAATAAGCAAATATTAAAAAAAAAAAAAACCCACAAAACTAACCCAAAAGGCCTGAAAATATCCTGTTAGTTAGGATGGTTGAAACAGGTGATCTCATTCATTGTTGGAGGTTGCAAATTGGTGCAGACTTTTTGAAAGGCAATTTCAAATCTATCCAAATTTCAGTGAAAATCTATCTGACATTTAAAAGTATATAACCTTTGACCCTGCAATGTCATATTTATAAATGTGTCTTACAGATACACCCATAAGTGCAAATAAATATATGTACCAAAGATATTTGCCTATAGGCACCATTGTTTATAGTAACAAAAGGCTGACACAATCTAAATACCCACTAGGAAGAGAATAGTGAAATAAATTGTGATATATTCAATGTGCTGAAAGCCTATGTAGCTTTTGTAGAGGCAGAAATAAATAATAATAAATAGTTTTCATATTAATAAATAATTAAAATTATTATTATTTAAAAATAATTTTATTTTTTCATTTTTGGCTGTGGTAGGTCTTTGTTGCTGCAGGCACTTTTTCTCTAGTTGCTACGAGTGGGGGCTACTATCTTATTGCAGAGCATGGGTGGGATCTAGGGTATATGGGAGTCAGTAGTTGCTGCACATGGATTCAGTAGCTGGGGCTCCCAGGCTCTAGAGGGCAGGCTCTGCAGTTGTGGTGAGCTTGGACTTAGTTGCATGTGGGATCCTCCTGGACCAGGGATCGAACCTGTGTCTCCTGCTTTACCACTGAATCACCAGGGAAGCCCCAGAGGCAGAAATACTATTAAGTGAAAATAACAAGGTATCAAACAGTGTGGAATGTGTGCTATCTCACACACACACACACACACACACACATGCATTGCTTGTAAATATCCAAAGTATCTCTGGAAAGATAAATTAAAATTGCTTTTCTTTTAAACTGTGCACATGTATTACCTTAGACAAAATGAGGCACCGAGTGAGTAATGGTGAGCAGGGATGGGGAGGGAGGAGATTCCTGGGGAAACCTGCTCAGTCACCTGAGCTCCAAGTGTGCCCAATGACTGCACAATCATTCCATCGGAGGTGAGAAGGCGACAACAATTTAGAAATGTCATCCACGCTGTGACTCCATCTCCATCACCACTGGAGGCCTCACCCTGTCTTGGCTGTCATACCTCCTGTGCCCAGCAGGGGGAAGCACAGACCCACCAAAGCATTGGTCCTAAACTTCAAGCATCCTTTCTAGGATTTCCTCCTCTGTGGACCACATAAGAAAGATACTTCCTGCCAAGCAAACCAAACCTATTAGGTAACAATTGATTAAAATTCCATTCTTTTTTTTTTTTTTGGCACCTTATAGTTCTGATCAGCATGAGAGAGAGATAACGTAGGTTTGTTGGGCTGATCATTTTCCACACCAGAGGTTCTGCTTAGCCCAGGCTTATTTCCATTAGGCCCTGGGTGGGCAGTGGTTGGCAAGGACCTGACCACTCCTAGGGATTGAGAGTGCAGGCTGGCAACTATTACATTAGAGGCTCCCCTGATGGGATTTCCAGCTATGCGAAACAGCTCCCACAAGCCACTCTCCCAGATGTGTTGAGAGTGTGTCCCTTTCTTGCTAGGCTGTGAGCAGCCTGAGGACAGAGACTCTTATCAGCCTCAGAACTTTCAGGAGTGAGCACGGTCCCGGGCACAGAGCTAGTGCTAACTAAAGGCTTGTTAAATGGAAAGAGAGCCACTGAAGAGATCGGGGACTATATTCTTTAAATAGAAAGAGACAGAGTGAAAGAAAGAGAGGAAGGAAGGAAGAAGAAAAGAAAAAGAGAGGTCCTAGGTAATATCAAGGGCAAGGACCCAAGGGCAAGACTGCGGTTTGCTCTGGGCTGGAGCGGAGGGCAGTGGGCACACAGCGTCACCTTCTTGACATGCCCAAGGAGTATCTTGCTTTGTCTGACCTAATGGGTCCCTGATTGGGACATGAAATAAGTGATCACATCTCTCACCCACCAGAGGTGCTTGTGACCTTGGCAGAAGAAAGGTTTAAATCAAGTCAGCCTGGGGGAAGGGGCTGGCTCATTCCACGGCCTTCCTTAAGATTAGATAAAATTTCCAAGCTTCTGCTTGAACTTCAGTGTTTCTGAATCTGAGGAGGAGGGCAGAAGGAAGAGGAAGCTATAGGGGAGGGGACATATATGGCTCCTGCCTGGCCTAGAGAAAAGCCAGAGTTCATTAATGGGTCCTCGGTCCTCAATGCCTTGACAGAGCAAGGAAGGACCAACTGAGAATCCCCACAAATTAGGTAGGGAGCAGGAGGAACCCCTGAAAGAGAAAAGCCTCACATTCAGGCTGGAGATTGTGCCCAGACCTAGGATTCTACCCTCCACCTCCGAACACTCTCTCATCCTCTGGTACATCCTGAATGAGAGGGCACGTAGAAGGCCAGGCCAAGGCACTGGAGATTTTTCAGGTGGACAGAAAGGAGGCCTGTTTCTGCTCTT